AGGCAATGAAAGAAGAGAAATTCTAATAGGGGGATTAAAATTGCAACTTTCTGATGCAGGCATCCAACGCCGCATCCAGATCTCTTAAGCTACAAATCAAGGTGACCCACTGTCATGGTTCATCAGACACTGACCCAGTTTTAGCCCAGAAAGCCCCACACAGGGAGAAACCCATCAGTACTGGACAAACCAGGATCGTTGGCCACCTTACCACCAATACACTCATTCTTTGGATTCCACGGTGCTGTTTTTTGATAAATTTCCTTTTGAGAAGAAGGAAAAGTATGTTTTTGAGACAGAGTATTTAATAGAAAGAGAAATAATTAGAACACTTGAAAACCTTGGCAGCCTTGAGGGGAAAGAGACATATCAAGAGAAAAAAGGGAAAACACTGCAACAGGTTGTGTTAGAATTCCTGCAATTAAGATGAAGGAGGGGGCTTTATTTCATGTAATTAATTAAAGAACATCAAAATATTCATTCACTTTCATCTCTGCTATGTAGATAAATTAAGAATGATTTTGTAACGTAAGAAGGCATTAAATGAAAATCTCAAATTTGTAAATATAATCAACTTAGCTATAAGCTCCTTGAGGATAGTTATTTTTACAAGGAAGAAAACAAAGACTTATTGAAGGCTACGTGGAAAGTGACTGACAGAGCATCTGGCTCCTGGATAGTTTTCTGGTAGGTTCTTTGGCCTCTTTCCTGCCGTACATCCGTTTATTCGCAGCAACATATAGCACAGCCCTTTCCTTTCAGATAAAAGTAAATGTTGGTAGGTTGATAGAAAAAGTGAAAGTATTTTAGAAGCAAATAATTTTAGCAGTTTCATTTGTAATTATAGCATTAAGAATTATTCACCATGGATGCCCATGTGGGTTTTATTCTGGTGTCATGATACAGTCCTGCAGCCTAAGGATTAACTTATCCCACAGTTATTTTCCATTCAGGTCAGTGTTGATCACTGAACAGCCAGTCCGATCACTACCCTGTTGATTCATTTCATTCACTGATTGCCAAAATTGCCAGATGTGTCCCAATAATCTGACTGTCTTTATAACCAAATGAAATCCACTGAACTGGCATAAGCCCAGTCAGTGTGTTGTTGGTCAGAGATGTTGATGGCACCATGCAGATGAGATGTTCACCAAACGTAGAAATGTCTAGTTCCCTCAAAGTCATGATAGACGTTTCTCCCACTCTAAAAGTTACATGCTGCTTCAGAAGAAATCATCCATAAATAAAACTTCTAACACATGTTGTTTCCCTTTTTTTTCCCCTTAACTAGAACATTTAGCTGAGTTCCTAAAACTCAGAGAAACATTATAGAATGGAAAGTTGCAGGTCAACCCTTCGCCCTTCTCAAAATATGTTAAGTAGTGCCTGAAAAAAAAAAAAAGTAAGGATGATCCGTAGGCAAATAAGTTTGTAATATGCCGGCTAAAGCCAAACCAAACTGGTACCTCGAATGGGGGAGGGCATGAGACAAACACATTTCCCAAAACTATCTAACCATAGAACTCTTTATCATCAATATTTGGAGGAACTCCATCCAGCCTCCCAATTTTGCAGGTTAAATAAAAGGTTAAGAAACTGATCCAAAATCAAGTATTTCCTTTAATTGTTTTCCAGGCCTCCTGTTCGCACCCCCACCCCCGCGCACGTTCATATTGCTGTCCCTAATTATGTATAAGAACTTATCCCCATCACTCCTCAGTAACTCACAAGTTGCTTCCAATGGACCAGCTTACCAGTGATGTGACCCCTAAGAATGGAAGCGAAAACCATTCACTTAGAAAAGATGTACTTCTAGAGAGTGAAAGGTTTTCCTGATGCTCTGATTTTAATAGTTTTTATTTATCGGGCGCCTCCAATATTCAGGCTCTTTAGATGCATCATATGATTTAATCCTCAGAAAAACCTGCAGAATAGACAATACTCTATCTGTTTTCCTATTAGGGAGATTATTATCTTTCTGAAGGTCATGGATTCAACAAGTTGGAAGAGTTAGGATTTAAAACAAGGTCAGTCTGACTACAAAGTCTTCAATCTGACCACGCTTAAAGATATCACAGCTGCATTAGAAGCATCGTTGTTGACAACATAGTTATTTTTTTTAAAGTTATTGGTCCATAACTGAGTATGTCATCATATACAGAGAATTACATCACTTTGGGTAGACAAATTTGTAAGAAATGTACTCAAGAAAAATAATATATTAAAAGGATAACCAGCAAACTGCCTTACATTTATTTGGGGAATGAGGTAAGGAATATGTACAATATACATCAGTACATACATATATGCATGCATTCTTAAACCAAAAACAGATACTTTTCAGGGCAATAAAAGGACAAGAACATAATTAGAAGATAGTGGGCATATAATTGTGAGAATTTCTTATGTTGACTGTTTTTGCTGGATAATGATGTTTTTTATATGGATTTTGAGTACATGCTGCTTGAATGAACGAATGAATGAATGAGTTGATGGAGTTTCACAATAAACATTTAGTGACTTCATCAGTTGAGTGCCTTCCTAGTGAGTGATCATTGTTGAGAGTTATCTTAAAGTCAGATGACTTTTCTGCAGTCTCTTTTCTTACTTAATAAACTTAGCTTTTCTTAAAATAGTTATTTGGGCCAGTCATCTTACTATTTTTTTTAAACCCTTTTCTTGATGTCTGTTTCTTTTATTTCCTTCCCCACTCTATCCACCCCTCCCTTCCTCCCCCTTCCTTTCATCCCTTCCTGCTTACCTTTCTTCCTACGTACTAAGAAATTGATGTGGTGTCTGCCTCAAATTGGTCCAAACTTCTGGAACCATAAAGATAAATTTGTAGAGGAGTTCAACCCACTTTGCATGACACTCCCTTGAAAATAATAGAGAGGGGCGCCTGGGTGGCACAGTCGGTTAAGCGTCCGACTTCAACCAGGTCACGATCTCGCGCTCCGTGAGTTCGAGCCCCGCGTCGGGCTCTGGGCTGATGGCTCAGAGCCTGGAGCCTGTTTCCGATTCTGTGTCTCCTTCTCTCTCTGCCCCTCGCCCATTCATGCTCTGTCTCTCTCTGTCCCAAAAATAAACGTTGAAAAAAAAATTTAAAAAAATAATAGAGAATTAAAATTATTTTGGCAACATCCTCCCAAAAATAGTTGGCTGGTAGTCAGTAGTTGATTCTGGGTAACCTAAAATTCTCTGGATAAACAAATTAGATTAGAGTACATAGTAAGTATGTAAAACCCAAGAAAGATTTATAAGATCGGAAACTTGTATTCTATCAGATTGAACACGTGCATTCATACCTTTTTATTCCATACATCTCCCTGAAATCAAAAAAACTACAGAAAAAAAAAAAAAAACAGAGAACGAGAGCAAGAGGGACCAAACCAAGGAGGAGATGCTGTTAAATGAGAGATATCAGCAGATTTGGGGAAGATGGCGCAGTGATGGAGGAGCGGGAACTGAGGCACACTGAGAGAAGCCTGCGAATTCATTCTGCAGGGCCCTGGGGAGGCATGGAAGGGTGTGAAGATGAGACAAAAGGGGATTGGTCACAGGAGTTACAGAATAGGTAGCAGTCATTGGTGGAAGGTAGTATATAGGGAGTTGTGAGACTGTGTTCCTCTGCCTGCATCACATTGTCACTACAGTTCTCCATCTGTGCCAGAAGATTGAGGCATAGTCTTGGGCTAAAGTGAATCAGAGATGTGCTGGACTCAGGGAAGCAAGACCCAGGATGGAGAGGTGAAGCCAGGGGAATTAAATGAAACTCCATAGATGGCAGGTTAGACCCTCCTGGACTATTCCAGAGCATAGCTCCAGAGCACCCAGAGCCAGGGACAGGCTCTTTAGGCAAGAGTTTGAAGGATTCTGATCTAGAGAAACTGATCAACCTGAGAAATGATCTGAGTGACGTTTGGAGTCCTCATCAAAATGGCTGGGTCCCTCACCTGGCTACCTCACAAGGATGCCTTCCAGATAATAAAAATGCCCTGCCCCCACTTGAGGCTTCTAGTCAGTCTTTTAGGGACTCAATGTTCCCAGGTGTGTGTGTGTGTGTGTGTGTGTGTGTGTGTGTGTGTGTGTGTGTACATGTATGTACGTGTGTGTGTGAGCCTTAAATATAAATAGAGTCACCAGATATTTGAGTATAGCTCCCAACATAAAATATAGAATAAAATATAGATATCAAAACAGAGAAAGAAGTTGGGAGCCACTCAATGAAAATATAGGTAACTCAGAAGTAGAAGAAAAACTTTTAAAAACCTAAGTATCTTTAGAAAGACGAGAGCACACGAAATAAAAAGTGCATCCTATAAAAAAGGAACAGTCCAAAAATAAGAGCTCCTAGAAATTAAACTTAGTAAAAAAATAAAATAAAAAATAAAGGAATGAAAAAAAAAACAGAACAAAAAAAAACTTATTCAGAGATGCAGAAGATAAAGTCAAGTAAACTTTCTCAGAAGTAGCTTAGCAGACAAAAATGGTCAGTAGGGGAAGAGGGAAAAGAAGGTAGGAAATATAGTGGATCCGTCCATGTGGTTCAGCATTTTATCATAGGAGTTCCAGAAAGAGAAAACAGAAGAAAATGGTGAGGAGACAAGTCTTAAAAAATAATGCAAGAAAAATTTCAAGTGGAACAATAAGGAATTTCCATATTTTAAGGGTCCAGAGCAATGGATAAGAATGGATAAAGAATCATTGAAATTCTTTAGTCTGAGATTTTAGAACATCAGGGATCACAAAGAAGATTCCAAAACCTTCCAGAGAAATAAGACACGTCATATATAACAGATCAGGAATACCAATGTCACCAGACTCCTCAGGCACAATACTGGAAGCTAGAAGACAATTCAGCCTTCAGAATTCTGAGGGAAATGACTTTTTACTTAGAATTCAATTACAAGCTAAACTAGCAAGCACCAGAGTAGAATTAAGACATTTTCAGACACTCAAGGAAGGTCTCAACGAATTTACCTCCCATGTACTTTTCTCAGGAAGCTACTAGAGAATGTGCTCTACAAAAATGAGGATGTAAACCAAGAAAGAGGAAACCATGGGATCCAGGAAACGGGGGACCCAACACAGGCGAGAGGCGCAGGGATTTCGCAAGATGGTGTTAAAAAGAAGCCCCAGGACAACAGGTGGGCAGCTGGCCTGGGAAAGCGCTAGACCAGATGGTCTAGATGGGCGGCCCCTTGAGGGAAGAATAGATGCGACAGATAAACTAATGGCTTTGATCGTGAAAACAAAAACAGAAACAAAACGGTTTAATAGGGCTTTTAAAGGTCCTTTGAAAATTTCAGGAGCAGTAATAGGTGCACACACACACACAGACACACACACACACACACACACACACACAGAGAGAGAAAGAAAAAAAGGCCACCAAGAAAAATGAAATATTGAACAAAATAGGAAGTGTATTCTTACACTACATGTGTAGTAAACAATTATTATATAGTCCTAACAGTGTAAACCTTATAAACACATTTTGTAATTCTGTAAACGGAATTTTGATTTAGCCTCAAATTAATACTTTAACATACTGGAGGGATGGGGGAAGAAGCTTGTCAAGAGGTAGTGATGGGATAAGGATGATAATTTTTTTTTCATTTCTTAAATGACAATTTAAGAGATACCAGTATGTGCATGTTATTTAAATATATGGAATTAAACATCTGAATTGGAAATTGAAAATAGTTTTCTCTCCCATGACAGGATTTAACCTCCTTGTGGGATGTGGTGGGTTAGTTACTAGTCAGCCTCTGTCCTCTGGACAAGCCCATAGATTTATCAAACTGAGAGTAACTAACCGGGTGGGGCAAAAGTCTTACCTGTATAGCAAGCTCATTCTGTCAAATAACTACCTTTCATAATAAAAACAAACAAAAAGGTGGTCTCATCTGTGGAGCAGGAAGGGGTGATGGGACAGGTGGTGGCATAGGGGATTTCTGTTTTTAGTTATAGGCCTTTATAAGTACAACAATAGCCCTATTTGCTTTTTTAAACTGTAGGCATACATTATTTTGATAGGTATTAAGTTGGTTTTAAAAACTACCTGAATCAGAAACAGAGGTTGTAAAACCCAAGTGTACAACCTCACCCTCCCACCTCCACCCCCCATATATCAAAAAAGCAACAACAAAAACAGAAGAAGGAGTTGATGGTGCTTTTTTTGGCTATCTTTCGGAACTAGTTTACTGATCCCACATCTAATAACAAAGCGTAGGGGCTTTAGGACCCTGGACTGCTCTCACTCCAACCAGCATTGCCTGTCCTCCGAGCCCCACACTCTGCTTTTAAGCTCTCCAGAGCCACTGCAAGGTACCTTTACAACACCTGTATTTCCCTTCACTGGGCCTTTGCTCCCCTTCCACCCACACATATCCACACACACGCTCACCCATTCCCAAAGTTCCCTTGTTCTACCTTCTGCCTACCTGTTTTGTATCTTGGCTCCGATTCCTCTCTGAGGGTCTTAGAGGGGCTCTGGATCATAGCATTCTCCCCTTCGTTTTAATTCTCGTCGTATTGTCTTTGGCACCACTTACCACAATCGTGCTTTGGTTTTGTTTTGTTTTACTTGTCCTGTCTTTGTTCAAAGGCTAGAAGGTGACAAGGGCGGGAGCCATATTGCGCTGGTATTTATTCCTCCTACAGAGCTTGGCAGAGTGCTGACATAATCCAGGTACTGCCTCAGATAATAATTAAATGAATAAATTAATCTTTCATTAAATGTGAAATCTGTTCAGTCATATGGCCCATAGTTAAACATCTGCATCTACCTAAATAAATATTACTGGTAGGTAGGGATTTTGTTTGCTTTTGTTTTAAGAAAGCTTATGAGCTTTCTCCTAAAGGGGAAGATTGTGTTCAGAGCCCAGGGGGTTAACTGCTCCCTAAAATTTTTGCTAATGCTTCCTTTGTGGGGGATGTATAAAACGTGTCACCTGGAGGGTGTTTTTCTTTGACTCTACAAGGATTACAGGTAGCCTAGCATTGAGGAAAATTGTGAGCAGTGTGTCACGTTGACCCCCAGCTAGAGAAGATTCTAGACATCACCCTGTGCCTGACGGACACTAGCAGAGGCTAAGATGTGACAGGAAAAGGGAGACCCTCTCTTGAGGCCAGACCACTAACATAAAAAAGGCATTCTAGAAATACTCAATGATAACATGATCTCTTGGGGCCAGTGGCCTACTAGGACTTGCATCCACAGCTTTTCACACCTAACTTAAGCCCCTTTCTACTTCATCAGGCTTTATACCACATTCCCCAGATCTTTTTATAACCACTTCAAGGATCATCTTAACAAATTACATAACAGGATTATTCCAAAACATTCATAGATGCAAACAGTGGAATACGATGGAGTCGTTAAGGAGAATGAGGTAGACCTGTTCAGTTCCGATGTGGTGAGGGCTTTAACATATGGTGCTGAAGGGAAAAGTCAGTGTGGAATAGGATGACTTCCTTCATGTCTTTACTGCACAGATACCATCTTTTCAACGAGGTCTTCCTTAACCACTGCATTTATAAGTGTAAGCATCTCCCCTCCCACTTTTTCTCCATTGGCATTTATCCCTATTTGACGTGCCATATATTTTCCTTGTTTGTTTATGGTCTATATTCCCTCCTGGAGGGAGGGCTTTCATGTGTTTTATTTATTGCTCTTCCCCCCAGGGCCTTAAAATAACTGTCTGAATGAATTTGTATAAAAAAGTATATTATTTGTACAGAATGTTATTATTTGTACAGAATTTCTAGAACACTACACAAACTTAACAGTAGTTATATCTGAGTCATAGAACTAAGGGCACATGGGAGGAAGACCAACTTCTGTTGCATATATCTTACCATGTACATGCAACACTTCTTAAAAACCCCAGTTTAATAGAGAATCCCATTTGAAGTATTTCTCAAATAGCTATAATGAAATATAAGTTATTTACTTATTTATTTCTGGTCCTGAGGTAATGAATACCATTTGGAATTTCCCCTCTTCTCAGAAGTCAAGTTGTAAATGTCCCGTGATTCAAGTCCATGGACTTTATAATTTATGAAGCCTTTACCAGCAGAGACTTTTTATTTTCCATCAGCGTGTACCATCTGTACTTCTGTTGTGATGGGACAAAAAAAAAAAGTTTTTAGGTCAGATGCATTCATATCTTCTTCCTTTTAGCAAAGTGACCCAAGGCAGGTTACTGAACCACCCGGAGCCTCAGTTCTGTTACTTATAAAATTGGGATCATTTTTCCTGTGAGCAGAAAATGTTGTCCCAATGAATCAAGATAAAGTCTGAATATTCAGTGCCTAGAAATGTCTGGATCACAGCAGGGTTCAGTAAATGTTAAGTCCTTCCCTTTTCTCCACAGAAGGTGACCTAGAGGGAGGACTTTTAGAGATATTATTATCCCTAACTTCTCAAAGTGTGGTCCCAGCAGCACTTTGCATTAGGAATGCAAAGTCTCACACCCAACCTGATCTAATGAATCAGAATGTAGCTTAACAAAATACCCTAGTGATTATTATGCACAGTAGAGTCTGCAAAGCTCTATTTTTATGCTTCTTATAGCAGTGTTTTAGACAGAGTTGCATTGATCATGTTTCTTATTTTCTGTATTTTATGATACTTTGACATCTTGGGGCCTTGAAGTTCTTAGGGGAGGCCCTGTCCTTGCAGGGTTAGCTAATTCCTGCAGATATCAAACAGTTGGCCTATCAAACAGTTGGCCTATCGAAACACCCTTTCGATATGCAGATCAAGCAATCCTAAGTCCTCACCCCCCACAGGCCTCCTTTAATCAGGCTCTCAAACGCAATCCAGAACATTATCCCCTACCCCCCCACCCCCCCACCCCCCCCCGCCCTAAATCACCCCGGGGCCAGGTACTGGACAATTTGGAACCAACCCTAAACCACAGAACCCACTTTGCTTTCCTGCAGAAACCACACAAAAAAATGTGTTGCCCTCTCTCCCCCCTTATTCCCTCTGACCAACAATTCCCTTATTCCAACTGACCCTGGTGCTTCCCGAAGTGGCCCTGCATGGTCTGTCTTGGCCCTGTGTGCCCCTCTCCTCCTGGGAAGAGTAAACAGCAGACTGTCTTTTCACCGGCAAGCATCTCCTAAAATGTTGGCCTCCCCATACCTGAGTAAAACCAAAATACCTCGTGTATATTTTAAAACAAGGCTGCCATTTTTAATTGCATTTTTTCGTTTTCGTGCCACTGGCCACCGTTCCCCTCTTCACCTTACCAATGGTAGTTCCATTGGAAGAGTATGAGGGTGGCCAGCAGAACAAGATGTTCTGAGGGTACAACTAATAAGCTGAAACATCAAAGGATGCTTAAGCCATCTCATCAGCCTGAACTTACTTCTAAATAAAGATGATCAAGGATAACCATGAACGAAGTTGTAAATCTGCTGAAGGTAGTATAACTACGTTAAATGCCGATAATGCTCCTTAAGCACAAGCTTTGAACACTTCAGAAACTGCTATTACAAATGATTAAGACCTCCAAGATAATGGAACCGTTTGAATTGAAACACACAAACTTATTTACAGAATGTCAGGGAAACAAATGAAAACCTGCCATCCACATCCATTCATTTTTCGTAGTGGCTTCAAACTATGGTATATGTGTTTTAGGTCGAAGTAACTGGTGCCCGGGAGCAGCTAGTATGTCCCCGAGCTGCTTTCCTTCCCACGTTTGCGTTTGCCTCTTATCGCTTCTATTTTGAAAAGAATCTTGATATATGGAAGTGAGCTATCTGAAGCTGAAGTTAATAAAAGTACTTATTAAAAGAATATAAAAGGGACTTTTCTCCCTCTGACTCAAAGAAAAAAAATAATGAGCATTTATTTCAGAAATATCCCACATTTGTCAGATAAGATGATGAGAAAAGAAGACAGTAGTTTGATGGTAACTTTTTCCTTATAAAAGTTTTACTACAGTGTAATTAAGAAATTGGAATTTGATTAGCAGCATTTAATTAGAAATATTAGACAAGGAAATTTTCCATTATCTTATGACTATCCGTTTTATTTCCATAAGATCTAAATCCTCACCACATACACACAAAGGTAACTATGTGAGGTGATAGATGTGGTAACTAACTTTATTGTGGTAATCATCTC